AAACTATTCAATGGGAGCCCAAAAATCTTTCCATCATGAAACTAATAGGCACCACCTTTCTACCATCAAATAAACTTCTCGGTAGCCTTATTTTGTTATTTGACTATTCAAAAAAAAATTTGAGGGCTCGGCCTAAAATTTCCAGTTACATTATTTTTCATACTCAAAAGAAAAAAAAAAGTGATTTACTATTATTGTTTAGTGTTTATTCCGATTTTACCATTGAAAGAAATGGCTAAAAAGATTTTAGGATTTTTTGATTGGAGGGGCGAAAGATAAAAATGGTGGAACGGTGATTAAGAATTTAGGGAAGAGGATAGATAATAAGAAAATTATGAATTTGCCCATCTTCCAGGTTTCCAGCAAGTTGCAGGTAAGTTTTCTAAGCCAAAAGTGATTTGGGGTGCAAAGTGCCAAACAATTTATGTTTAAAGGGTGCAATCTGCCAATTTTGCAATTTAAGGGTGCAAAGTGCCAAAAGCGTGTAATTTAAGGGTGCAAAGTGCCAAAAACCCTTTTATTATTGTACACTTTTTTTTTGTTTCACTCTCTCTCTTAATGTAACACATTTTACCTTCTCTTGCTATTTAATTGTTTTTTTTTAAATCCAAATTATTTTTTTATTTTCAGACAAAATGCACTTCGCCCCCTATAAATTTTCCTTTTTTTTTGCACTTTCCCCCCTAAAAATTGAAAAAAAAAAAAACAACCCTCTCAAAATGTTGTTTTGATTGCACTTCACCCTGAAAACCAATTTTCGGTGGACATCGTGCACCAAATATAACATTTTAAAGGGGCAATGTGCATAATTTTTTTTCAAGGGGCAATGTGCAACAAGAATAATAATTTGAAGGGGAATATTCACTTTTTAAAAAAAATAGGGGGTAAAGTGCAAAAATTAGAAATTTATAGGGGGATGTGCAATTTTCCCTTGTTTGTTAAGAGTCTAATGCAGATTTTATTCCCTTCGTTACAAAATTTAATCATTTAATTGTGGGGAGAAAAAATAAAATGGGCATGATAGTAAAGTAGATGAGTATTATTTGTAATATAGTATTTCCGCATATGTATTTTAAATATTTGCTAATTTGTATATAAAAATAATGTGCATAAGTTTATGGTGTCCAAATTGTGTAATTTCCAACCCTACATATGGTGTATTGTTTTTACTACTTACACAATTAAGGAAAGGAAGTCTCAAATATGAAAATGGCCAACCATTTTATTTATTATTTTTATTTATTGAAATATGTTTTTTTGGATTTAAGTCTAAAAAAAATCTTTAAGTAGCATGAGTCTTGAATTTTCAAGTGTTGGTCCACTAATAATTGAAAATCTCTCTCTACTTTTAGCTAAGCACTATCTTTTGCTGTAGAAAGTAGTCCCACTCCTTTTAATGGTCCAGATTGATGCTGACATGTTCCTATTTGATCAACGGCTCTGATTAATTGAAACGAGATTGCTTTTTCGACATGCCGTGATAATTTTTGATACATTTAAAACTAAACTAATTATCATAATATTTGGACATGGGTTTTTAATTTCTTTTCAATTTCGGGCATTCTATTTTTTTTTTTAATTCAGGTAAGTGACAAATAATTATAGGAAAATCATAAATTTAAAATTTCCTTTTCAATTATATATGTATGTATAATCCTTTTCAATTATTTATATGACGAGTCAAGTGTTTACTTTTTAATCATCGCAACAAATGCTCATATATTTTCTTAGAAATTGCCACATGTTATTTCATTTTCTTTATTATCTTACTTATTAAAAAAAAGGGTAAATTCCACTTTACTCCCTTGTACTCTGCCCAAAAACCACTTTATCCCCTTGTACTCTTAATTTCGTCGATTTACCCCCTTGTAATTGTACAATTTCCCAATACAACCCTCTTCGTCAACTTTTTTCGATTTGACTATGACGCTATTTGGTCAAGAGTCAAAATATTGACGTAAATATTGAATTTTTTCGATTTTGACTCTCAGATTAGAAAAGAGAAAGTTTCACACATTCATATATTTTTTTCTTTGCACTGGGTGGAATCAATCAATTTTTTGGTCTTGATTTTTACTAAGTTAGGGCTTCAATTTGGGGATATCTTGGAAGGGGAAGTGGTGGGAGAAGAAGAAATGACAATATTGACGGAGGAGAAATGATGCGTTATAGGCAGTGGCAATTTTGTAATTTACAAAGTTGACCAAATGGCGTTAGAGTCAAAATTGACAAAAATTGAAGAATAAGGTTGTATTGGGAAATTGTACAACTACAAGGGGTAAATCGATAAAATTGAGAGTACAAGGGGGTAAAGTGACTCTCAGGCAAAGTACGAGGGGGTAAAACGGAATTTACCCTTAAAAAAATATACACGATTTAGTTCTGGCATTTTATAAAATAAAAAATAAAATAAAATAAACGAGGCACAAATAGTTAACATTGTATAGCAATTTCTACCATCTTTTCCCACTAAAAAAGGTTAGTGCACCACAGCTAATCATATTTAATTATTTATGTTATGAAATAAACTCCAATAATCTGGCTAGAAGACAAATAATGAAATAATCAAATAAATAAATAAATAAATAAAATTATTAAACTTAAGGTAAGTGTTGATAAGGCGATGGAATTTCCCACCAGGACATGTCAAAAGGCACAACAACACACTATTTTCCAGCAAACATTCAATAGTGGGCTGATCAGACTATATATACCCAAAGTATTTGTATTTCTTTTTCCTTTAATTAAAAATATCCATTAAATTAAAAATACAAAAAATCCATTTAATGTAGGAATCATGGTTGTAACTTGTAAAATAAAAAGTAAAACATTAAATAGAAATTTATTATTCACATCATAATTTTATGTGATTTCATATCAAACAAATTGAGGCCATCACGTGATGAAGAAATAATTCAACATAATAAATAAATATATATATATATATATATATATATATATATATATATATATATTGAAAATTATAAATATAATTAAAAGTTATTATATGTATAAAGTAGTATATATATATTATATAGTGTGGGAATTTGTGAAGAAACTACGCCCCCCACCACCCCCCACCCACCCCCTATCACTGTCTATTTAACATGCGATAAATTTGTTACAGACTCTTGTTTTTCTGTTCTTTTTTCTCACACACTCAGTGTGAAAGAAAAGTATTTTTTTTTTAGTTTAAGTTTCTCAACCACAGAATTATATTGCAGTAAATTAATATAAATCTTCATAAGAAATATAGCAAAAAAGGAAGAGTTGATAAATACAGAAACAAAATCCAAAGAGCTGGTGGAAATTAATTTAATGGTGTTGGCACAAATGTTCATCGCTGCTGCAAGTAAGTTCCTCTACTCTCTGATCCTTTTCTCAACGTCAAGAACATGCACATGCATACACACACACTATATATATATATATATATATATATATATATATTTCAAAAACTAATTTTTTCATTTCATTGAATTCATAACTCTCCAATTCTTGTTTTATCTTCTAGTTCTTTAAACCAAAGTTAGTGGCAGAGCCAACATAGGATTTACGAGGGGCCGTTGCACCCACAGTTTGTCGAAAGTCTACTATTTTATATAAAGATCTGTTATTTTTCGAGTTGTGCGTAAAAAAAAATATTTAGGCCCACCCAAATACTTATTAAATAATTGTTTACAAACTTTTGAATGTGTTTATTAAGTTTGCTATAGCTAGGTTGTGTTTATATGTATGTTTGTTTACACTTTGTACTAAACGAAATATGCAGGAATTTATTTTGAGATCCAAAAGTTGAGGTTATTTATTTATTTGATCCCAAAACATTCTTTATCTACAGATATATATTTTACTGTATGCAAAGTCAGTGGTGTGTCACAATTATTCTTTAATGGAATATACTAATATTTAATCTTAATTCACTGTGCAATATCAGTAGGACTGTTACTTTACTTTTATTTTATTTTTCTCTTTTTTTGGTACATGGAATCTTTTTTTTTTTTTTCCTTAGAAAGGAATATAATCAGAATATTACCACGACAATACATACACAGTTGTCTAGATTTTTATCCTTTTTACTTATTATTTATTTATTTTATCAAACTCACACTAAAACAGAAGGAAACATGAGAAACATTTTTGGATAAGGATTTATTCTCACAAGATACATGTTTTAGCATGTGACCCCTCACATGTTTTAGCAAATTAAAAGTCCTAAAGATATTTAAAAATTAAATTAATTATATAAAAAAAAAGGTTTCGGTTTTTCAATAAAAATGAATTATATATATATTTTTTTTAATTTTCAAGTTTCATTTTAATGTATATATACTATCATTCATCAATCTTTATAATTTATAAGAGTAATTATTCGTCGATGACTCAATTTTTTTCTTCGTAAACACTCGACAGATTCGATGTTTCTCCGATTTCAAGAACTTGCATGGCAAGAAATAATCACCCCTTGTCTCTTGGAAGAAGCAAGTATAATCCTCCAACTCGGTTTTCTCGCAATTATATCGATCCTCTTCATAATGAACAACGTTGATTCTTCATGCAAACGCAGAAACAAGTCGAGCCAAGTCGAAGATCAATACCACACAAATGACAAATATACCCTCTCCCTCAAACTCTCCCTCGTTTCTTCCATCACAATCCTCGTCACTCAACTCACTGCCTTGCTCGATTCGCAACTAAGCACCGCCAATGTGTGTGGGCCCTACAAAGGCCTAGTCCTTTCGTCAAGGATTACGCAAGTGATATCATGGTCAATCACACTAGTCGCACTTTGCAAAATCCGGAAAAACACGAAGCTCATCTATTTCCCGTGGATTTTGAGATCGTGGTGGATTTCGAGCTTCTTGTTATCTATTACTCGTTCGATTATCGATGCTCGTTCTATAATCAAGAACCACAGTCAACTCCGATTCCAAGAATATGCTGATATTATCAATCTAGTAGCTTCCACTATCCTACTAGGATTATCAATCCGTGGGAAAACGGGATTGGGATTATCCTCCATCATAATCGAAAACGGGATAAATATTTCCGAGCCACTTCTCAACGGTAAAAACGAAAAGCACGCACAAGCTACTTATAAGAGAGATAGTAGTCCATATGGAAGAGCCACTCTTATTCAACTAATCACATTCTCTTGGCTTAATCCACTCTTCGAATACGGATTCAAAAAGCCGCTCGATCAAGAAGAAGTCCCCGATGTTGATATAAAAGACTCTGCAGATTTTCTCTCGCGGAATTTCGATGAATGCCTCAAATACATTAAAGAAAAGGACAAAACTCAAACCCCCTCTATATACAAGGCGATATATATATTCGCGAGGAAGAAAGCCGCTATAAACGCACTTTTCGCAATCACAAGTGCAGCAACTTCTTACGTGGGGCCCTACCTAATCAAATTCTTCGTCGATTTCTTGAACGAGAAGAAATCAAGAAGCTTGTCGAGCGGCTATTTTCTTGCATTAGGGTTTCTTGTGGCGAAATTGGTGGAGACTATAGCTCAACGGCAATGGATATTCGGGGCCCGACAATTAGGGCTCCGTTTGAGGGCCGCTTTGATTTCACAAATCTACAAAAAGGGTTTGATTCTGTCGAGCCAAACAAGGCAGAGCCGTACAAGTGGCGAGATAATCAATATAATGAGCGTAGATGTGCAAAGAATAACCGACTTCACGTGGTATTTGAACACGTTATGGATGCTGCCTATACAAATATCACTAGCTATCTTTATATTGCACATGAATCTTGGAAACGGAGCTTTTGTGGCGTTGGGTGTAACTCTGTTAGTAATGGCGGGGAATATTCCGTTAACTCGGATGCAAAAGGGTTACCAAACGAAGATCATGGAAGCGAAAGACGAACGCATGAAAGCCACTTCGGAAGTTCTTCGTAACATGAAGACGCTAAAATTACAAGCGTGGGATATCCGGTACCTTAAAAAAATCGAATCTTTAAGACAAACGGAGCACAATTGGCTTTGGAAGTCTCTTAGATTGACAAGTGTCACCACTTTCATCTTTTGGGGGTCGCCCACTTTCATATCGGTGATCACTTTCGCGGGTTGCGTTTTGATGGGGGTCCCGCTCAAAGCGGGTACGGTTTTATCCGCTCTAGCCACTTTCCGGATGCTCCAAGATCCGATTTTTAATTTGCCCGATTTGCTCAATGTGATGGCTCAAGGGAAAGTTTCGGTTGATCGAATCTCCTCTTATCTACAAGAAGACGAGATCAAGTCAAACGCCGTTGACATTGTCGAAAACGACGAAACGGGGTTTCATGTAGAAATTATTGGCGGGAAATTCGGTTGGGAAGTCGAATCGAAGATTCCGATTCTTGATAATATAAATTTGAGGGTTAAAAAGGGAATGAAGGTGGCGGTTTGCGGGACCGTCGGATCGGGGAAGTCGAGCTTGCTATCGTGCGTGTTGGGCGAGATGGAGAGGTTATCCGGTGCGGTGAGGATCACGGGAACTAAGGCATACGTGCCGCAGTCGCCATGGATATTGACGGGGAATATCCGGGAGAATATTCTTTTCGGGAAGGAGTACGATGGGGAGAAGTATTGGAGGACGATCGAGGCTTGCGCTTTGGTGAAGGATTTCGAACTTTTCGGGGCGGGAGATTTGACGGAGATTGGAGAGAGAGGGATAAATATGAGTGGTGGCCAAAAACAGAGGATTCAAATCGCACGTGCGGTTTATCAAGATGCAGATATTTATTTGCTTGATGATCCTTTTAGTGCTGTGGATGCACACACTGGAACAGAACTCTTTAAGGTTTGTTTGTCTTTGGGTTTTTTTGCCAACAAATTTATTTTTTGGTGGTATTTCTATAAATTTAGGAATTTATGTATGTGAAACAGGATTGCTTGATGGGGATTCTTAAGGAGAAGACAATAGTGTATGTTACTCACCAAGTTGAATTTCTACCTGCAGCAGACCTCATTCTGGTAAGTTCGATAAATTGCTAAAACACTCCTCATTTTATGAGTATTAGGCAAAAAACCCCCTTGTAATGCATTGTCTTAGCACATGACTACCTAAAAAAATGAACTTCAAGGGGGCATTTTGCTAAAAAAATTGAGTCACAAGAGGTTTTTGCTAATAAAATTACACGAGATGGTCTTTTAGCAATTAGAGAAAATACAGAGGTGTCGACTGCAATAAAGCTATTCACAAATATTTGGTGGTATTCGTTTATATATCGATTGACGTTAGAATAAATTAGATAACGACGAAAAATGCATCACAGGGGTTGTTTGCTAATATTTATAACACGAGGGGCTTAATTAGCAATTTGGTAATAATAAAGGGGGTGGTAAATGCAATTAACTTTTACAGGTGATGCAAAATGGAAAAATATCACAAGCAGGTACCTTCGACGAGCTATTGAAGCAAAACATCGGATTCGAAGTTCTAGTTGGGGCCCACAATGAAGCCCTAGAATCGGTCCAATCGGTAGAAAACTCCAGCAGAATCTCCGATCATGCACCGGCGGCGGCGGCCGAGAACGAAGCGGCGGCGGCGGCTGAAGCAGACGCCGCCGCGAATCAGGAATTCCCGCACACGAAGCAGGACTCGGAGCACAATCTATGCGTAGAGATCACCGAGGAGGAAGGGAGATTGGTGCAGGAAGAGGAGAGAGAAAAGGGCAGTATCGGAAGAGAAGTTTACCTGTCGTATTTGACGACGGCGAAAAGAGGGGTTTTGGTTCCGATTATAATCCTGGCGCAGACTTCGTTCCAGGTGCTGCAGATCTCGAGCAATTACTGGATGGCGTGGGCTTGCCCCGCCGGAGATGATCTGCCGTTGATCGGAATGCGATTTGTGCTGTTTGTTTACACGCTCCTTGCTCTAGGCAGCGCTTTCTGTGTGCTGATTAGGGCTTCTTTGGTGGCGGTTGCCGGATTGATGACGTCGGAGAAATTGTTCAGTAATATGCTCAACAGTGTTTTCCGTTCTCCGATGGCTTTCTTTGACTCTACGCCGACCGGGAGAATTCTGAATCGGGTAAGCATTTCAACATCAGAAATTTAATTTCTCGATTTTATTCGTAGGGGTTGAAATAAGAACAAAATTTCCGACTCCCGCCGATTTCCGATCAAATTTCAGTTTTCAAAATCATTCCGAAAACTCGATTTTTATTAAAAAAGAAACCCCCTAAACTTAGGCTAAATAGCGAAAAATATCCCCACCTATTCGTAATTACTAAACTCCCTCCGAGGTTTGTTTCCGTCTTACTCCAAACCCCTTACAACGTGGCTTTTCACGGATTTTGTTGATTCTGGGGAACACACTTTACACAATTTTAGATATTTTCTTTTATTTCTCACCTATTTAACAAAATGTATAATAGATTGTACACATTTTCTATTTTGGTTATTACAGATATGTGGGGTGTTTTTTGTTATTTAGCCTAAGTTCAGGGATTTGTCTGTAATTTACCCTATAATTATACTTATTAGTACCTAGCCTTACCAATAGGTTAAAAGGTCTAGGGTTCTGAGTCCCCCTCCCCTACTTCCCCGTGTAAAGGACTTGAATTTACTAAAAAAAAATAAAAAAAAAATTGGAATTTTCTGAATTCCCCCGATTCCGATAAAAAAAAAAAAATCAAATTTTGGAATAAGTTCAATTTCCGAAATTTTGAATTCCAATTTTTCCATTTTTTTATTTTTTTCGGGACGGAGTAAGAATTAACTTTTCACTTTCGAATAAGCTTATCAGACGTAAGATCTTATCGATCTTATCAACTGGTAAAAATAAGATTAGCCCAACCAAATCGCTCACTAGTGTTAAAAGTATATATATATTATCTTTTCCTAATCAGATAGTGGCAATCATTACACAACAGGCTTCGACGGATCAAAGCGTGCTCGACTTAGAAATGGCGAACAAATTAGGATGGTGTGCATTCTCAATAATCCAGCTTCTCGGTACCATAGCAGTTATGTCACAAGTTGCATGGGAAGTATTCGTCATCTTCATTCCGGTCACAGCTATCTGCATCTGGTACCAGGTAATTAATAATAAACTTTCAATTTTTTGAATAAATAAATTTCAGACAAAAAAAACTCTTCCACAATTTTTCGTTTTGTTTTTGGCAGCAATATTATATACCAACGGCGAGAGAATTGGCCCGTCTGGCTGGAATCGAACGGGCCCCAATCCTTCACCATTTTGCAGAATCGCTAACCGGAGCCGCAACTATACGTGCATTTAACCAACAAGAACGGTTCACAGATGCTAACTTAAGCCTCATTGATAATCACTCGAGGCCATGGTTTCATAATGTGTCGGCTATGGAGTGGCTTTCTTTTAGACTGAATCAGTTGGCCAATTTTGTCTTCGCCTTTTCACTCGTTTTGCTCGTCACTCTCCCTGAAGGAATCATAAATCCAAGTAAATATCATATATATATATATACATAGTATATATATATATATATGTATATATATATATATATATATATATATATATATATATATATATACATATATATATATACATATATACATATATACATATATATATACATAGTATATATATATATATGTATATATATATATATAATCGTTAGGGTTGATTGCATTTAGCACCCCCAGAATTTACCCAAATTGTTAAAAAAAAACTACCTGCGTTATAAATATTAGCAAAATTCTTCCTATGATTCAATTTTATTTGCAAACTACCCCTAAAAACGCATTATTAAGGGATTTTTGTGCAAAAAAAAGTATTATAGGGATTTTTGGCAATTTGGTATAACACAAGGGTGCTAAATGCAATAAACTTAAAATGTTGACTAATAATTGTATATTTGTATCTTTTGTACCGAATGTTATCACAGGTATTGCAGGTTTGGCAGTGACTTATGGAATAAATTTGAATGTTCTACAAGCTTCCGTGATATGGAATATTTGCAACGCCGAAAATAAAATGATATCCGTAGAACGGATTCTTCAGTACTCGAATCTTACAAGCGAAGCCCCTCTTGTTATTGAAGAGAGTAGGCCTCCGATAGACTGGCCACATTTTGGAACTATTTGCTTCGAAAATTTGCAGGTATATGAATATCGAGTTTTTTTTTTTTTTTTTGCATTCACCACCCCTACATTTACTTTAATCGCAAAAGACACCCCTCTGCCACGTTCGAAAAGCCAAAATCAAACAGAGCAGGTGAGCTAAGAAAAACGTAGCATAGGGTTTATAGTAATAAAAACAATATACAACATTTTCAACAATTCAAATTTTTATTTATTTATTAATTTGTTTTTTGCAGATACGCTACGCTGAGCATCTACCGTCTGTATTGAAAAATATAACATGCACATTTCCCGGGAGGAAAAAAATCGGGGTAGTGGGAAGAACCGGTAGTGGAAAGTCAACTCTCATTCAAGCTATTTTCCGTATTGTGGAGCCAAGAGAAGGCACCATTATTATCGATGATGTGGATATATCAAAGATCGGCCTTCATGATTTAAGATCAAGGGTCAGCATTATTCCTCAAGATCCAACGATGTTTGAGGGCACCGTTCGAGGAAATCTCGACCCTCTAGAGCAACACTCCGACTCCGAAATCTGGGAGGTACAACAAAATCTACTCTAAAAATACGAAACATAACTATAACTTATTACTTGGAAAAATTGAATTAAATCAAGTTGAATTATATTTCGGAACATTGTCATTATGTTACATATACGTTGTAGCACAACTAATTTATCTTTCCTTAAAGTTTGTAAAGGGTAATTAATTTCGGTCTTAGGTTTCTTGATTTGTCCGCGTTTATCTTAAATGAAACGAGCTTCTTTTGCAGGCATTGGATAAATGTCAATTAGGAGATATAGTGAGACAAAAGGAGGAAAAGCTGGAATCGACAGGTTCGTTTTTTTCCGACATTTTAAACCTCAAAGTCCTCTAAAACACACACACACATGATATTTTTTTTTTTTCTTTTTTTTTTTCGGACAGTGGTTGAAAACGGAGAAAACTGGAGCGTAGGGCAAAGGCAGCTATTTTGCCTAGGAAGAGCTCTACTAAAGAAAAGCAGCATTCTTGTTCTTGATGAAGCAACAGCTTCGGTTGACTCTGCAACTGACGGTGTAATACAGAAAGTTATCAGTCGGGAATTTGAAGATCGAACCGTTGTTACAATAGCTCACAGAATCCACACCGTCATAGACAGTGATCTTGTCTTGGTGCTCAGTGATGGTAAGAACATAACCAACTTTTTTTTTTTTTTTTTTTTGTTTCGAGGGTTTTTTTTTTTTAAATTATTAATTGCATGAAAAATTCGTTCGATTTCTTTTTTTTTTTTTTTTTTTTTTTCAGGAAGAATAGCAGAGTATGATTCACCAGCGAAGCTATTGGAAAGAGAGAACTCTTTCTTCTCTAAATTGATTAAGGAGTACTCGATGAGATCGCAGAGTTTCAACAACATACCGAAGTTGGAGTGATTCTTGATGCAATTTTTTCGTGTTTAGTATTTCATCATCTTACATGAAAAACGAAAAAAAAAAAAGTTGAAAAATATTCGGACTGGTTTCAATGAACATGGTATCTTTTGTTGGTTAACCGTTAATTATTATGATTTATGCAATCAGAAACAAAGAAGGTTGAAAGTAATAGTTAATGTTGCTACAATTTTTGTGAAGTTGTTACTCTCGTTTAGGGTTGGAACTGGGCTGAGTCGGTCGATTACTGGCCTAAAAACCAACCCATCCGACAATTCCAGATTTTGTATGCCCATTGTTATTCGAATTCATAGGGATGGAAATCGGATGTATTGATTGGAAAATACAAGTACAAAACAAAATCACTTTTTTTTTCGAAAATGAGAAGCGGGTTCTGGAAATTTCAAGAGTTGAATTATTATTCACTCTTGTTTAGGCAATCGAGTTACTTCTATATTTTCGATTAAAAAAAAATAAAAAAAAAACTGCAGAATTGTTTCTGGAAATTCCAAATTGTTTTAAGAAAATGTCATTTATTTACTATAATCATGCAATTTTTTCTCGTTATCACTACTTTAATCTTTTATACATAAATTATACCTAAAATGCATCATATTAAATGTGTTGATAATAATATTATAACCACATTTTTTGGAAGGACTAAGAATTTTCTCAATATTTTCATAAATTAAAATTGGACTCCAAAATTGAAATTTCCAGCAAATTTGTATATACAATCAACTTTTTTTTTCATTAATGTCGGGAAAAAAAAAAGTTGGGATTATGAAATTTAACCCGATTTTCAAATGAAAAAGAAGTGCGACTTTGCTTAGAATTTGGAAATAATCAAAAAAATCGATTTTAAACTTAAAAAGTGATTGCGATTTTAAGCTTGGAAGAGGAAGTCCTGGAAAAAACAAGTAGCAGATAATATGACGGTGATATTGCGAGCAGCGAGTTCGCTAACCACCGTCACATCAGAAGCCACGAGTACCGGAAATGGCGCACCGCCACCACCTAATCGGAACCTTCCGCCGCCGCCGTCGCCGGCGAGGCGACTCCTCTCAATTTCGAAGCGTTCGTGGCTCGTTAGAACTGAGGCATGTGTATTTCTTCAGTTCTCCATTTTTTTCTAAGCTCCATTTTTTGTTTCTTCTCAAAATTCGTGTTAATTTTGTTGATGAATTAGTTTAGGGATTGGATTCGCCATCGAATTTAGGGCGTTTGTTGGGGGATGAATGATTTTGTTGTTCATTTGGCCAGAATACCTAATTAGTGGATTGAGATTTTGTTTTTTCAGCAATTTAATCATGAATTATAAGGTTTAACTATTCAGTAGCTACCCCAAACTCCACTCAGACAAAATACTCTGTGTGTGTGTGTGTGTGTGTGTGTGTGTGAAACTTCTCCATTGAAATATAAACAGTTCATAGTGAACTTAAATAAATTTAAATAATCTGATGCTAAGTAGTGATTGTCTTTATTGATTTACTTCAATAAATTTTGTAGCAGTCTCCGCTTTCTCATAACGATACATTTCGATTTTATTGTAGTCGAATGTTCGGAGAGAAAGCATAGCAAAGCCAGATCCGCCTTGCGTTGTATGTAGAGGAAGCGGTAGAGTCGATTGCCACAACTGCAACGGAAGAGGTAAGATATATCATTCTTTCTTTCAATTTCTCTTATGATCTACCGACAAAATACCGATTTTTTTTTTCTTCTTCTGATTTACGTCATTTTATCCTAAACATACGGCCGATTTGTACATTTATATGTGGAAATGGAATTTGTTTAGTTAAGCTCGATTCCTTGCCTATCACTGGACAATTAGGGTGCATTTTTAATTACGACGGTTTTAGCTAATATGCTAAAAAATCGAATTCAGTACCCGTGTTATATCTAATTGCTAAAAAACCTTCCCGTTTATTAATATTAGCAAAAATTCTAAATGGTAAATTTTTAGGGGCTAGTTTGCGATATTTTTTGCATCAATTGGACTTAACCGTAGGGGTTTAAATGCAATAAACCCGAAATATCTCATCTGATGTTTACTGCAACAGGAAGGACAAATCACGTCGAATTGGCAGTGCTTCCAAAAGGAGAGTGGCCAAAATGGTAAGGTGGAAAAACTTTTCTTAATGTCACAATCGAAAAGTTGGTTGTACCGTAAGTACGATGTGCTGGCGTGTAGACAATCTCATCGAAGTTCTTGATTGAAAAAAAAAAATCCGTTTGCAGGTGCAAGAGTTGTGGTGGAAGCGGGCTCGGATACTGTGACCGGTGTATTGGAACAGGGGAATACAGATATATAATGGGGTTCAAATTCATGAAGAAGGATACCGATTTACTGCAAGATAATCAGATATATAAAGTTCTTGATCTCAAGGGTTCACAATCGTTTACCGAGCTACTGCTGAACGACGACGACCAATCAGATTTAGGGAGTGAAAGCTGAAATCTGATTGATTTGTAGATGTTTGTATAAGTTTGTTTGTTTAAAGGGAAAATTAAAAGCAATCCTCTGCAAATAGTGTTAATGGAATTGTCGAAACACTGGCTAATCAATATTTTTGTAACAATTTTGTTTAGTATTTCATCTTCTTCGGAAAAATAAATAAATAAATAAATAAATAAACCGGATTATTAGGGAATGAAAATGGAAATTTGATTTTTTTTTTCAATTAATCAGATGTGCATCGTTTTCAGCAGACTTGTACGAAACTGAGACACTAATCCGAAAGAAGAAAATGCATACAAAGGTTATTGGAGTCTCACAAACATGTACACAAACAATATGCTTCAAGAAGTAGCTCCGTATGGAATAAGAGCTGCCGCCACTATCCTTCCTTCTTCGTTCAATATGTTGTACGTCGATGCAGCATTTCTCTTCAATAAAGTAACAACAAAAAACTCGATAAATATGAGGCAGTTTCCAAATTTAAATTAAAAAAATAGTGGACAGTAGTTATGCAGTGAATCAAGGTCTTACTATCATACAACCACAGCTATATAATGGAAATGCGCACAAAGGAAAGACAACCGAAAGATTTGTAAAATAAGTCTATAAATTATATTTTGCTATAGTTCATGAAATCGTAACTTGTCTCGTATAAAGGTGATGGAACCGTGCAATTTAAATGATTACGTACCGAGTCAACTGCTTCTATTTTCATGCCAGCGGAACGAATGAAGCTACGAACTTCAGGTTTTACCGGCTGAATATCCCTTCCACATCCAATAATCAAAATTTCTGGAATATCAAAAACAAATGCCTGATTTTAGCTATGTCTCTGTGAAGGAAATCTCCACAATCTTGGCTAGAATTCTCTCCTCGTTGAATAATTTCATCTCTCATCCAAGTGAATAAGGGGAAAAATTGATTGAACAAAGTAGTACACACTTTTCATGCATTTCTATTACACTTACTCACCTGGTATTGGTCGTACGGTCTTAAAAATAGACAAGCTGCAAAAAGAATCATAAAAACGGAACTATATCAGGAATTGACATTGAAACAACTCTAAAAAGGAAACTTTTTTAGACATTGCTAGCAAAATCTTTGCACAAACAAATTTTGAATAGTTCTCTAATCATGTAATGGTTACAGAACATTCAGAACATAACTCGTCTAAAGATTTCAAAATATGAAAAATAATCAATTCTACACAATAAAAGCACAGCATAATATTATTAAAGGCGAGGAGAAACAAGAACCTTCGATGAAATAGTTAAAAAAATAAAAATATTCTCCGAACGTGCTGAAATTTTGCTGGCAAATATTTTACATACATTTTAGTTTACAGAAACTAATTGCCGACTTCAGGCTAAAGATATCAATTCGATCATGCACCAAATGTTGTATTCAAAACACCAAACCCTCAGTACAAATTCCCCATCCTCATTTTCTCGAGTTGATTGAAAATCTTTGACTGGACATATCAGCAGAAGCATTTCGTACTTGAACTTTTAGTCAACTGCTCTTAACAAGAAAATTAAAGTACTCTCAAGAAGCATATTAAATACCTTTCAACGGTGATCTCCGAGAAACTTTTGGGGGTCCAAGACATGAGCAAATTTCCTACACAAAGTAAGCTGCCTTCGTACCTGACTCCATTCACTTTGAACCCTGTATTATCAAATCTGTAAGAACCGAACAAAGGTTGGAATTAATCGCTTCTATAAACAATAAAAGGCAGGTTCAGCAGTTCCTGAACTTGTAAATAATAAACTTCCTCAACATACATAAACTAAAATAAAACCAATAATTTGTACACATAGAGCAAGTAATGAAAGTGCAATACTTCAATCTTGCTAGCCCGTTGCAAGAATTGCCTCCAAATCAACCTAGTACAACTCAAAATTAAGCTGTGAAACAATTCGCGTAAAGGGAATAACAGTATCAGTAGGTGTAACAGTTATTAGTTTTACTTCAAAAGTTGACTGAGAAACGCAAAATATTGATATTTATCAGATTAAGGTAAGTAAAAGATCAAATCATTCATAACTCCATTTTTTTCCGTACGTACGTAAGAGTCGTACCATACTACCAATGCAAGGACAATCAATCACGCAAACTATTACAGAAGTATGTAACAATATAACGAAGGGCTAGCGCTAAAATTCTAATATATTTACAAGACTGGATTCAAGAAAGCTAATATCTAAAGGCTAAAATTGAAGGTTCTCTTTACACGTTTATTGGCTTAAATGCCAAGCACCGATTTGCTTGCTTAATAAAACCTCACATCTATAAATTACATGAGAAGATAATCAATTTACATTACACACAGTTATTCAAACCTAATTTGCCCAAAAAAAATTTATATTTGAAATTAACACAAATTCCTATCAGACAGACACAAATTCTTACCAAAATTCTTATGGAAATGAACTAAAATGGTACAGCGATGTACTGAATTGACGAAAGAGAGTTAATAAATACCCTTGGAAACGGAGCTGGTCGTCGGGGAAATTATCGATGAGATTGATCTGATCGTAGAGAGAGAATGCTCTTCTCAGCGAAGGCAGCGCCGTCTGGTGCCTCGGCGGCGCCGCTTCTTTCCGGAGTGCTCGCATGAGCGTCGGCAGCGCCGCCACCGCTTTCTGTCTCGCCGCCATCTCTTTATGGTGCTTCTGCTCGTCTCCGGTGTGGGGGTAAAGAAGAAATATGGAAAATTAACTATAAATGTTTTCCCCAAATGCCCCTTGTTAGGACGTAATACAACATATGGTAAATTATGGTCAAACCCCTGAGGTAAGATTAAATTATGAAAAAACCCTCTTATATTTGATAATTACAACCACCCATCAATTATGAAATTTCTTACACGTCCACCTTTACAGTGTCAAATTTAGTGTAATGTTCTATATTATGGGAATATTTCTCCGGTTTGTAGCCGTTTTACACCACTCGAACTCCACATTTTGAAACAAGATGATCATAAGATGTGTTGATTTTTAATATCAGATTCTAGTGCACCAAAAATTGCATTATTGCATGAAACGAGTACAAACTAGAGAACATTTTACGTAATCTAGAAGATTTTGTTGAATGTGACACCATAAGGTTGAACGTGTAAGAAAATTTATAGTTGAAGAGACTGACCGTAATTATTCAAACATGATGAGATTTTTCGTAATTTGACCTTAAGAATCTTCTTACACGTCCACCTTTAGAGATGTCAAACTCAGTAGAATCTTGTAGATTATATAAAATATTTTCCAGTTTGTAACCTTTCTTCCCCATTCGAGTTACAAATTTGAAACAAGATTGTGGTGCATTAAAAACTGTATTTTGCACAAAACAAGTACAAACTAGAAAAAATTCCACGAAATCATTGAATTATAAGAGTGGACGCGTAAAAGAATTCATTATTGAAAGGTAGATTGTAATTATCCAAACAAAAGAGTATTTTTCGTAATTTAACCTTACATTAGGGGTGACGCCGCAATAAAAAATTCCAATATATAGCTCTTGTTAAAAGCCCATTTTAATTATGGGGTGCCAATCTTTATTTGGGCTCAAGTCTAAAATTGGCGACCCAACTAAAATTCAACTTTCAACTCACCAACGGTATATTCTTTTCTCACGTGACAAACCAAATACGACGCCGTACTTAAAAATCGAGTAATATATAATTTAGGTTTTTCCGACAAACCCGATCAACCAATAGTAGTCCGCCTATTTTCACCCCCTCCGGACAAAACCCAGAAGCTAAGAAGAACACAATCCCTATTTCATTTCGATCAAACGGGTAAATTTCCAATTCTATTCATTTATTTATTTATTTATTTTCATATTCGTATTAGCGATAATCCGATTGTGTATTTGATCGATTTTCATTCTCCTTTAGCTGCAAATATTTATTGCTTTTGTGGCTTTGACTTTGGCTTGACTTTGATTTTGTTCTATCTTTTGGGGATACATATCCGATCATGATTCTGAAGATTCCCCTAAAATTTCCTGCTATTTTATTTGATTTTGATTTTGATTTTTTTTTTTTGAATTGACAAGGGTAATAAAAATACTCATAATTGGCAAGGGGTTTGAGACAGATGAAATGAAAATTATATTTTGATGAGCTTATTTATTTCTTATGTTGCTGGAAATAATCAATTCGGGCCCGTTTTCGTTTTTTTTGGTGCAAGTTGTTATTTGAAATTGTGTGATGTTTATTGATGCGTGTTTGTGTAATTGTTCGTTTGCTATTATCCGCGAGTCTCGTTCTTCGTGTGTTCTTGGTTGTTTAAGTTTAGCTAATACTAAAGAAAGACTAATATGTAAGTATTACGTGTATACGTGAATACCGTTTTTGCTTCGTTGTTTGATTCCATGTACCAATAAAAATTGGAATTTTTCTCTCTCTCTCTCTCTCTCTCTCTCTCTCTCTCTCTCTCTCTCTATATATATATATATATATATATATATATATATATATATATATATATATATATATATATAGTTGTGGGTATTGGAGTTTGTGTTGTTCGGCGATTAGGTAGTTTGTAACTGACTTTCGGTGTTGCAATACGGAGGAAAATATGAATTACCGTTACTTCTTTTCAAGTGGATTATTAGTAACTTTAAATCTTCGTGTCCTAATGTCGTCCATAACTAATTAATCTAGACGAGATAAGTTGATCAAGCGATGTTTGCTTTGTGTTTATGTAGCGTAATTTGTCGAGAAAGTTGATAAATGGTGCTAAGTGGAATACAAAATAAGTTGATGTGTGTGTATTATTGAGACGTAAAATGAAGAAGTGGAAATGATATACGGTATTACTAGAGACATTTTAAATACTAGAGACATTTTTGTTCTTGGATGTTCGTTTTAAGACATTCTTGTATCTGATTGCCTTCTTCTTCCGTGTTTTTCGTTTTTGCTGCCTTCGTTTTTGTTTGTTTAGTGGCATTTTATTTATTTTAATTGAAATTTTGTGACGAATCTTAGCTCTGTCACATTTAGTACCGTTTTATATCGAATTGATTAAAAAAAAAAAAAAAAAAAAAAAAACCTCCCCGTGTTATTAATATTAGCACTTTTTAGCACATTATCTGCTAAATAGTGCGTTTTTAGGGGGCAGTTTGCAAAAAAAAATGATAGGGGCTTTTTTGCTAATAAAATAACACGGGGACTTTTATGCAATAAACCCCGATAAATAAACTCATTGAATTTTCTTGAAAAAAAACTCCGGAGTTTTTCACCATTTACGTTAAAATGTTTGCAGGAAAAATAACCAATTTTATGGATAAGACGGAAGCTAGCAAGAAGCTAACCGAGGACATGACTCGTGAGTCACTAATCGCAATCTCTTACGACACTGATGACGTGGCGGCTAATGAAATGTCGCCGGAAAACAACAAAAATAGCGACGAATTTGTTGAATCTCCGAATCGAGATAGGGACGAGAAATATAGGTCTAAGTTGATCTCGATTTCTTATTCGCCCTCGCCCGATGCGAAAGAGCTACCGTTACTGCCACCCGGCGAAGTCCACGGTTAGCTTAATGAAACATTATCGGACCTCTTTAATATTATACGACTACGATTGTAAAATTTTACGATAAATAATTAAATATTGTCTTGTATGAAACAATATTTCCTCTTGGGGTTTGAAGGTGTGTTGTGGTTTATCTTATAAATACTTGTAATTAACTTCACTATCTAATAATGTGAAAATATGATGAATATTTTATTAATATATATCAATGATTATGTTGATTTTTAGTTGATTTTATTGCTCCTTTATTACCACTTAACCATGTAATATTGTTTGTTATATTTGCTACATAGCTATTTTACTACTACCACCCTTAGGTGAAGTCAACTTATGAAAATACCCCTCATGTTTGGTTATTACAATTATCCCTCAACTATGAATTTTCTTACACGTCAACTTTTGCTGTGTTAAATTTAGTGGAATATTCTCTAATTTGTACTCGTTTTACCACATTCGAGCTCCACATTATGAAACAAAATAAGGGTAAATTACAACCACCCCCGAGGTATGGTCAATTTACAAAAAAACCCCTCCTGTTTGGGTAATTACAACCATCCCCTCAACTATAAATATTTTTACACGTCCATCCTTGCGGTTTCAAATTTAGTGGAATCTTCGAGATTATATGAAATATTATCACTTTTGTATCCGATTTATTCCATTCGAACTTCACATTTTGAAGTAAGATGATCATAATACGTGTTTTTTGGCTTGAATATATCAGATTGTGGTGCATCAAAAACTATATTTTTATACAAAACGAGTACAAACTATAGCACATTTCACGAAATCTAGATGATTATGTTGAATTTGATACTATAAGGGTGAAGGTATAAGAAAAAATCATGGTTGAGGGGAGTAGATGTAATTATCCAAACAAGAGGGGTTTTTTTGTAAATTGACCATACCTCAAGGGATGGTTGTAATTTACCCAACAAGATAATCATAAAATGTGTCTCTTGGCTTGTAAATATCAGATTGCGATATCAGAAATGGTATTTTTACACAAAACGAGTACAAAATAGAGAATATTCCACGGAATCTATAAGATTCTGTTGAATTTAATGTGTAAGAAGATTCATAGTTGATGGGTGGTTGTAACAATCCAAACATAAGAGATTTTTTCGTAATTCGACTTTAACTAAGGGTGAGCTTAATTTATCCTAATAAAAATTAAATAGATACTTATTTATTTATTTATTTATTATTATTTCTTCAAAAGGGATATGCATGAATGGTTTTTGTATTCTTATGCCAAGTAGTGATATATATGAAGTCTTTGTTTTTTCATAGACTATATATAGATTTTGGTGGTTTTTGTAAAGTCTTTTTGAATGATATATTTGTCTGCTGCCTTCTCTCCATGTGGTTTCTCATTTCCAATAAACCTACTATTTAATTTATTACAAATTTTTTTTTTTTTTTGAAATAAATGATTAAAGATGTCAAAACAAAAGTGGTGGTTTGAATGATAGGGTATTTTATTTTTTATATTATTCTTAATTTGTTTAAGGCCCATGTTGCCTGCAAATTAATATAATTGAAACGTGACAACTGAACTGCTCTGATCTTCTTCCTTTTTTTTTCTTTTTAAATATATTTCTTTTGGATAAATTGATTTTCTTTTTTTAATAATAGACTTTATATTACAAAATTCATAGAGCCGGCCATTTAACAAGTGGATAAACTCCACATAAATTTTGAACAATATTTTCATTCCAAATTTTGAAAGTTGGGATTTATTGAATATCGCTTTAGAGGTGGAAATCGGACGGAAATGGCTTTTTTTCGGAAGATTTCTTTTCTGAAGTAAAATATGGATTCAAATTTTCGTCCCAAAAAATTCGGAAGACAAAAATTTATACAGATTTCGAAATGCCTTAGAATCGGCGGGGAATTTCGTATGTATAATCTCTTGTTTCAAATTCGGATGTGATATGAATTTTCGCAGAGTTTTTCTATCTTTTTCAAAATTTTGCAGGAAAACGCAAGAAAATTCAAAAGAGGGGGGGGGGGGGGAAACGGAATAAATAAAACAACATGTAGGAACAACAAATTGAAAAATACGGTTCCAAATTTAGATATTTTCGCATCTGAACTGGCGGAATTCGAAGATTTTGTCCCGATTTCCACCCCCTATGATTGATCATTAGACACGTAGGAGAGGATTTTATGGCTGATTATTAATTGAAAAGAAAAGATGACAACATTTCAAAGTGTCGAAATCCAAATATGGTGAGTTGCTATGATTAATGTGGGCACACTTTAGAACAATGAAATATGAATTGAGGAGACATAAGTGAATTGTGTATGTCTGCAAAAAGACTAACAAATGTAGGGTTTATTAGATTCTAAACATATTTCAAGGCATGACCCAAAATCCACTCATAGATTACCTGCAACAACTAAAGCAAAACAAATATTACATATCCTCTTTTATTTTAGTACACAAAAAAAAGACAAAATGCACTTCAGCCCCGTATATTTTTTTCTGTTTTTGCACTTTCTTCCGTATAAATTGAACACCACCACCACCACCCCTAGAATTTTTCCGGCTTATTTTTCATTGGAATTGACATTTATCTGTTCATTTCAAGGCATTTGAGTTATTTCATTGTTCTATTTGAATTCTACTATCGTTATATTTTCTAGTAGACGGAAAACAAAATTAGGGTTTTTTTTTCCCCCGAAAATGAATTGTGCGTGCGTATTGTAGTCTCAAAATCACGAGAATTTTCAATTTCTTCTTCAGTTAGCAGTTACTACGGCGATTCATCCCTAAAATGACGTAAATGCCCTTCAATTGAATTGATTCATGGCCATTCCGGTGAAAAATACACCGAAAATTATAATTTTGGGCAAAATGCAATTGTAACAAAATTTTGTTGGGAGGAAATTTCTAAGGGGCGAAGTGCATTTTGTTCAAAACAAAATCCAAGCATAATTAATGTCATTGCTTTAGAAAACAGTGAACCGTAACGATCCGCATTACACGATCCGGTTCACAGTTCATGGGTCGATTTATGGTCAACAACTAACCATCATGTGGTCAACGAGTTAATTCCCAGTCCGATCGAACCGAACGATAGGCATGTCTACTTGTAACAACAGATACAATAATATTCATATTTTAATCCGATTACAATGAATTCTGGGTAGAAAATGTAATTTTAATTTTAATATTTTTTCTTAAATTATTAAGCTGCCACCTCTGATCTTGTCAATTAGTGTTAAGTGGGATTCCGTACATACTTTATTAATATAAACAAAAGAACAGCAATTAACCAAATCCACACTTTGTTATTACAACCTGTGATCATCCACTTCATTTATTTCTTTTTTGCTTAAATCATCTCCAAAAACAAAGAGAATCCCTGCTCTAAACAACAAGACAAAACCATTAGATTTAGGCCGGCAGCAAGATCATCCCCCACCCCCATCCACCCTAGCTTTCTCAAAGACCATATTTTTATTATTTATTTTGTTAAACCCACATCTCCCCTTGTATATATATAATTTATATCTTTGCTACTTTTCCTTTTTCTGTCTCATTAAGCAATAAAAAAGCAATCTTTATCATATTTCTTGATTTCTTGAAAGAAAAAAATTTAATCTTTTTTTTTCTTTTTTTGGGGGTGATTGGGTTGGAGGAGTTGTTGTTCTACTTTTTTTTTTTTTTTTTTCTGTCTCATTAAACAATATAAAAGCAATCTTGATCACATTTCTTGATAAAAAATTAAATCTTAAAAAAAAAAAATTATTTTGTGATGGGGTGGGGATTGTTGTTAGTGGGGTGGTGTTGTTGTTTATTAGGGTTGTTGATTTTGAAAAGGGGTATGAGGAGTGTGAATAGTTGGTGGTGTGAGAGGAAATTGGGGGAGAGGAGATATGAACTGCCACCAGGTGATTTTGGTTGGCCTTTCATTGGTAATATGTGGTCCTTCCTCAGAGCTTTCAAGTCTACCAATCCTGATTCTTTCCTCTCCGACTTTATTCACAGGTCATCATCCATCATCTTTCTCTCTCCCCCCTCCCCTAACCCCCCCCTCTCTCTCTCTCTCTCTCTCTCTCTCTCTCTCTCTCTCTCTCTCTCTCTCTCTCTCTCTGTATATGTGTATATATGTGTGTGTGTGTGTGTGTGTGTGTGTGTGTGTGTGTGTGATGAAATGCAGAAAAAAGGTACATTTTGATGTTTGAATTGAAAACATATTTATGATCACAAATTGAGGTTGGCAGTATTTCTTGAAATATTTCAAGATTGCCCTTGTGTGTGTGTGTGTGTGTGTGATAAAATGCTAAAAAGGGTACATTTTGATGGTTGAATTGAAAACCATTTATGATCACAAATTGAGGGTGGCAGTATTTCTTGAAATATTCAAGAATCCCCTTGTGTGTGTGTGTGTGTGCAGAAAAGGGTACATTTTGTTGGTTGAAAACCAGAAAACCATTTTTATGATCACAAATTGAAGGTGGCAATATTTCTTGAAATCTTTCAAGATTATGATTTTCGGAAAGAATTCTAACTTTTTTCGGCGAAAAGTTGACCTTTTCGAATTTAGGTACTCCCTCCGATTGTTTATAAGTGACGTTGTAGCAAGCAAGATTTTTTTTTTGTCCCATATTATGTGTCCTTTTAAATTTTGATGTACACCAAATTTGTTCGATTTGTCCAATTTTACCCTAGACAATTTTCGATCACGAAAATGATCAAGAATCCACAATTTTTTAATTTTTAATTTTATTTTTCAGGTTCGGACACACCGGAATGTACAAGGTACACATGTTCGGCAATCCCAGCATCATAGTCACCACAGCCGAAGCATGCCGAAAAGTTCTAACCGACGACGAGGCCTTCAAACCAGGATGGCCCACATCCACAGTAAACCTAATCGGAAAAAAATCATTCGTCGGAATCTCCGACGAAGAGCACAAATGGCTTCGTAAATTAACCTCCGCCCCCGTAAACGGAAACGAAGCATTGTCCGTGTACATGAAATACATCGAAGATAATGTCGTAACTGCTCTAGAGAAATGGTCGGAAATGGGAGAAATCGAGTTCTTAACCGAACTCCGAAAGCTCACGTTCACAATAATCATGCACATTTTTATGAGCTCCGAGAGCGAGCAAGTTATGGAGGTTTTGGAGAGAGAATACACCGCGTTGAACTATGGCGTTAGGGCTATGGCGATTAATATACCGGGTTTTGCTTACCACTCTGCTCTTAAGGTCCGATTTTCGTTAATCGCATATAAAACTACTATTACATATGTTCTATATTATCTGTCGCTTTAGAGTTCCAATAATACTTAAATACTTTTTTTCATATTTTACCCTTATTAAATGATAAAGGGTATTTTAGTCTTTTTATATATCGTTCCTAAAAAAAACTAGGGTAAATTACGGCCATCCCCGAGGTATGGCCAAATTACGAAAGAACTCCTCTTGTTTGGGTAATTACAGCCACTGAGCCACCCCATTCCTTTAAATATTTTTACATAAAATTTATGTAATTCGGTTATTTACCGAACCAAATCGTATATTCAGTTCGGTAAATGGTATGAAATGTTGGCGTACCGAAATTTCGGTTCGGTTTTACCGATTTAATCCCTAAATTTATCCATGAAGGGGTTTTTTCGTAAGATAATAGATAGTTGAGGGGGGTTTTCGTAATTTGACCATAACTCATTGGTAGCAGTAATTTGCCCAAAAAACTATTCCATATTATTTTTCACTCTAGATTTTAATAATGCATTAAATACATTTTTCTTATTTTACCCTTATTAATCGAACTCTATTAAACATTAACTCCTTTTTATCAACTCATTAAATAATAAAGGTTATTTTAGTCTTTTTTTTTACATATACGAGCATTGTTATTACAAATTTCGGTTTTTATGCGTTTAAAATCGGGCTTTTTACAATTTTAGGCACGTAAAAAGCTCGTGGAAGTTCTTCAAGCCACAGTAACTTCTAGAAGGAATCTGAGGGGCGAAAACCCCCCGAAGGCTAAGAAAGATATGATGGATGCTCTTATGGAAGCTGAAGATGAAAATGGGCGAAAATTGGACGACGAAGAAATAATCGATGTTTTAGTTATGTACTTAAACGCAGGCCACGAATCTTCGGGGCACATCACTATGTGGGCCACCCTTTTTCTTCAGAAGCATCCCGACGTGTTCAAAAGAGCCAAGGTATGTACTTAATACTATTATTACTCTATATGTCGTTTTTTTTGTTGCGCAAATATTAAGAAAATCAATAAATGTGCATAGGTTATAGCAAAAAGAACTTAGGAAATCACTAAAATACCCTTTTGATTAATTGTTTTTCAGTTGATTAATTAAGAGCGATAAATGGTAAAATCGAAAACAGTGCAATTAATGATTCAAAGAGTCAAATAATACGGGACAGATGGAGTATTACATAATTAATATATTTATTATTGTCCTAATTCGTAATCGAGACGACATTGAAAAGCTAATATTTTGGACTTCGTTTTCTTGATATTCTCATGAATAATAATTCAGGCTGAGCAAGAGGAGATTGTGAAGAACAGGTCGGCTGATCAAAACGGTCTTTCGCTTAAAGAAATACGGCAAATGGATTATCTTTCTAAGGTTTCCCGCCTTTTTTTTTTATTATTTTTTATAATATATATAATTTCTTCGAAATTTACTCTTTTTTTTTCCGAGCATCTTTTAACAGGTAATCGATGAAACACTTCGTGTGATCACATTCTCACTTGTTGTCTTCCGAGAAGCAAAGAAAGATGTCCACGTTTGCGGTATATATATGCTAATTTTTTTTTTGATTCATATATTCTTTTTAATATTTATAATTTAGCAGCAATAATAATAAATTTAGGAAAAATTGAAGTTCACATTTTTTATTTTGTTTCTTAGGTTACACAATTCCTAAGGGATGGAAAGTTCTGGTCTGGTTTAGGAGTGTTCATTTTGATCCCGAAACATACGTCGAACCGAAGAAATTCGATCCTTCTCGATGGGATGTGAGTTTTGAAACCAATAATTATTATTATTACTTAGCAATTTATGAAGATTTTACGGTATAATTTTTCTTATATAATTTAAATTTATTTGTAGGGATTTACACCTAAAGCCGGAAATTTCCTTCCATTTGGCGGTGGAAGTAGATTATGCCCCGGAAATGATCTCGCCAAAATCGAGATATCTATCTTCCTTCATCATTTTCTTTTGAATTACGAGTGAGTTACTATCCGTTCTTTTCTCCTTCGATTTAATATCGAAATGGTTTTTATTTTGTGTTTATTATTTTTTTTTTGAAGGCTCGAACGACATAATCCAGCTAGTCCGATGATGTACTTGCCGCATACGAGGCCGAAGGACAACTGCCTAGGAAGAATAAGGAGAGTGTCTGCATAAGATGTAGAGAGAGGAGATTAATTAATATAAGAGCTCTCTATTTATTTTGTTTTTGATTTATGAGAAATAAAATGTTGCTTTGTTCTTAGTATAGAACTTAATTCTCCAACTACATTTTGTAATTCTAAGTTGGGATTTTTCCTTAAACTACAAATATTAGTATAATATATGATGAATATTCATAATTTTGTCCAATTTAAAAAGTAAATGTAGATATATATTATATACTCTAATGTACGAAATTTAAGGAAATTATTTTTTTTGCTCGGAAGATAATCCGGGGCGGATCGGGATAATTTTATATGTGGACGATTTTTTGCAAAAATAAATTAGCCAAAATTCGGGAATTCGGGGGCATCGCACTTGATTTTTTTAAGAATTATTCATAGAAAATTACTAAAATAAGTAAATATATATTGATTTTAATTAAATTAGTATAAGTTCTAGGGTAAATTTCATTTTGCGCCCCTGTACTATGTGAAATGTATCTTTACCCCCTAATGTAAAGAAAACATCAGACACCCCCTGCCGTTAGCCTTTTTCCTAATTTCCGTTAGTCAAACCCTTTGACCGACTATTGCAAAGAATGACTTTTTTGATGAAAATATCCCAAACATATTCTATATATATGTTGCTTAGTTTTGACAAATGTTCATCAGAATTTTTACTTTTTTCGACCCTGTTTTTTCACTTTATTCAGTCATTTTTATTTACTATTTTCAGCCGTTTTTCTTATAAAAAACTGAAATGTCAAATAAATAAAAATGTAAAACTCACGAAAAAGAAAACCAAAAGCCTTAAAATCTAAAAGAAACCGTAAAATTGAAATAAAACCATATAAAAGAATAGCAAATTAAAAACAAAGCTTTTCATATTATACTGAAAAAATCCCCAAAGAAAAAAATGAAAAATCCCTAAAATCGACAAAAACATAATTTGATCGTTCGCAAAAAATCGTCAACAATCCACAAAAAATACACCTAAAAAAATTAGGGATTATATCAGACATAAAACAAGGTAAAAGAGTCATTAGACACTCAAATTTAACCCGTTAAAAATTAGATGATTGACGGTTAAAAATAGGGGATGTCTGATGTTTTATTATGCATGAGGGCATAAATAATACATTTCACATATTTCACATAGTACTGCAAAATGAATTTTAATCTTTTTTACGGGTATTTTTGCCGGGTACGGGTATTTTTAAATGGGTCGAATAAATACTCGGGTCAGTATATCCATTTTCAGCTTTCCCCATCAATAGGCCCAATTCTCTCTTCTTCGTAAACCCCAATCTCTGTTTCCGCCATGGCCGAACTTTCTTCTTTCTGCAATCACAGGTAAAACCTTCTTCTTATTCACATTCGTTTGTTCACGCACAAGCATTTCTTCACTAATTTCAGTAATGCCCTCACCTCGAATAAAAATCAAAACTTTTTGAGTTCAATCTGAGCTAGGTTTTCACCCAAAAATGGCCGCCGCTTTAAGAAAAACCCAGCAATTAAGATCCACTCTCTGCAAAACCCCCAAAAATCCAATTTTTACCACCTTTCCTAAACCCCTGCAAAACCCTAAATCAACCCCGTGCCTACAACAACAAAAACCCTACTCCACAAAATCATCGAAATTCCCCGAATACGAAATGCCCTCCGTCACATGGGGAGTAATCCAAGGCCGAAAGGAGAAGCTCGTGTCACGTGTCATAATCTGCGACTACTTAAAATCCATGGGCATAATCCCCGACGAACTCGAAGAGCTCGAATTGCCGTCCACGGTCGATGTAATGCGCGAGCGCGTCGAGTTTCTACAGAAAATCGGTATAACGATAGACGACATGAATGAGTACCCGTTAATGCTTGGATGCAGTGTGAGAAAAAACATAATCCCTGTTTTAGGTTACTTGGAAAAAATCGGGATTCCGAGGGCGAGAATGGGCGAGTTCGTCAAGAATTACCCGCAGTGCCTCCACGCGAGTGTTGTGGTGGAACTCGTGCCGGTTGTTAGGTTTTTACGTGGGCTCGATGTGGAGAAACAGGATCTTGGATATGTGTTGATGAAGTACCCCGAGTTGCTAGGGTTTAAGCTCGAAGGTACAATGAGTACTTCGGTTGCTTACTTGGTTAGTATAGGTGTTAATCCGAGAGATATCGGACCTATGATAACGCAGTATCCGTATATATTAGGTATGAGAGTCGGCACTATGATTAAGCCGCTTGTCGATTACTTGATTTCGTTCGGTTTGCCTAAGAAGATCTTGTGTAGAATGTTCGAAAAACGGGCTTATATACTCGGGTATAATCTCGAAGAGACCGTGAAACCGAATATCGATTGTTTGTTGAGTTTCGGTGTTAAAAAAGAATTACTAGCATCGATTATTGCGCAGTATCCGCAAATAATCGGTTTGCCTTTAAAGGCCAAGCTTTCTTCGCAGCAATACTTTTTCAACTTGAAGCTCAAAATCGACCCTGACGGATTCGCGCGTGTAGTCGAGAAAATGCCTCAGATTGTGAGCCTCAATCAAAACTTGATTATGAAATCGATCGATTTCTTGCTTGGAAGAGGCATTCTTGTTGAAGATGTGGCGAAAATGGTGATTAAGTGCCCTCAATTAGTTGCACTTCAAGTTGGATTAATGAAGAATAGTTACTACTTTTTCAAGAGCGAAATCGGGAGGCCGTTGAAGGAGTTAGTCGAGTTTCCCGAGTATTTGACTTATAGCTTAGAATCAAGAATTAAACCGAGGTATTTGAAATTGCAGAGTAAAGGGATTAGGTGTTCGTTGGCTTGGTTTTTGAACTGTAGTGATCAGAGATTTGAGGAGAGAATTAAAGGGGCGTATATCGAGGCGGAGAGTAACGGCCCCTCGTTTTTCATGGGGGGCAAATTGGAACTTCCGGGGGGTGATATTGTGTCGGAGGACGAAGAGGATGAGAGTGACGATGAAATACTTTATAGGCGAACTGTTTCTCTGTAATAGTTACGAAGTATGCTTTGTCGAATTATACGTTTGTTTCTTTTATTTTGTGTAATGGCATTATTATCTTTGAGCTCTTTGTTGCTGATTGCGAAATTTTGATGATTGTAAGCTCGTTTTCGGTTGTGATCTAGACTTGTATTTCATTATTTCTTCGACTTTTTTTTGTCGAGAAGTCGTTCAAAATTAGCAGCAAGATTGGTGAATATCTTTCATTTTCTTGTTAGTGAATTGTTTCTATAGATAGTTTCACCAAATAAAGTGCAGGTGGGTTTTTCATAAAATTGGTTATTTTATAGACGTGTAATATAAGATAAGGAGAAATTACAGCCCTCAAGTTTGCACCAATTTTGCATTTGGTCCTCCATGATAAAAAAAACCACATTTGGTCCACCATGTTCCAATAATTTAACAATTTTGGTCATTTCTTCAATTTACCGTTAATCCGTTAGTTAAGGCAGTGTGGGCACACACTTGATTCCGTTAGTTTTAACGGGAAATTAATGAAAATGACTAAAATCGTTGAATTTTTGAATCATAAAGGACTAAATTTGTTTTCCGTGAACATATGGGACCAAATGTGAAATTGGTGCAAACTTGAGGGATGAAAACTTTATTTTTTCCTACAAGATACATAATAGTGTCATTACAAATGTAATTTTTGGAAAAGAACTTGCATTATTTGGTATTCTATTCAGAAATTGAAATTGATATAGCCTAAAAGGCTCAATCACAAATTGAAGATATGGATCGGGCTTACGAAGAGTCCATACGTTCTAAGAGACCTGCAAAAAGGAGTGTCGGGGAAAGATTTCCCGGCATTAGCACTTTGACAATCAGTTCAGTGAATCGTGGAGAAACAATATAAGGCAGTGATGGACACACGCTTGATTTTGTTAGTTTTAACGGGAAAATTGACGGAAATGACTAAAAATGTTGAAATTTTGAAACATAAGGACCAAATGTATTTTTTGTGAAAATGGGGGACCGAATGTGTAATCGGTGCAAACTTGAGGGGCGAAAACTGTGTTTTTCCCAAAAGAAGATATGTACAAAACTATGTCGTTTTATTCGTTCTACTTTTACATTGTGGGATTATTAAAACCGTTTAATGGCGGCAACGAATAGTCTGATTCAAAAGATAGGGAAAGCAGTGAAGGCGGTGGCCGAAAGCAAAAGCTCAGAATGGTGGTACAGTCCGCACATGGCCGCCGCCTCACGCGCCGTCGCCGAGCGGATCCCACTAGTCGATCTTGTACTTGAAGTCAGAGATGCCAGGGTACACTTCTCCTACATTTTCCCCACATGGTGTTTGTTGAAATGCCTGAATGAATATTTCGTGTTGTTGTACTTGTCGACTTCTTTTACGCACGCCTGCGGTTTTTTTCGTGACACGGACTTTGGAAATTTCGGACTCAAAATCAGGATTTATCCGAAGTTATTATTAGCAGCATAAATTCCATAATCGGAATAATGAGTAAACAAACTTTTTTTTTTCTTCCTAGTTGATATTTTTACTTTATTTTCGCCTTTTAGATTCCGCTGTCATCAGAATATTTGCAATTGAGAAAACATTCATCTTCTTCGAGGCGAATCATCGTGCTGAATAAGATGGATCTTGCTAATCGCACCCAAACGAAGGTAATTTATTTATCTTCCTTTTGACTTTGTTCATATATTAAATATTTTTATTTCCGATCAGAAGTTATCTTATCTAACTTCTTTCACAGGAATGGGTGAGGTTTTTTGAGGGGCAAAAATGCATGGCTTTCGGAGTAAATTCACATAACAGAGAGAATATAAAAGAGGTGAATCTGCAATATTTTTCCATGATTTAATTACTCAAAATGAATTCATTATGCAGTTGCGTTCAGATTGTAATTAGGTCTTGTTAATTTTGAATAAAACTTCGTTTGGCATATACTTCTATTAATGTTGTAAAAAAATCCGATTTTTCTGTTAAAATTCTTTATCGAAAAGTAGACGACTGAATGTTCAAAAGACAGTAACTTGTTAATGCCTTGTGTATCAAAACTTAACGACATGCAGTTCCTGAATTTCATACAAGCCAGAGTCCGAGAATTGAAGAAAAATGACGATTCTGCACATGCGATATCATTAATGCTAGTTGGTATTCCTAATGTTGGCAAATCGGCATTAGCCAACTCTTTGCATCAGATAGGAAGGATTGCTGCAGCAGGTATTTATTATTTCTTCGTTAATACCTATTATTACAAAATTACTACTTACTTTTGTTTTTTTGAGTCTTATCACTCTTTTCGATACTGAACATCTTTTTTAATTATTAATTTTTTTGTTTTGCAGAGAAAGGAAAGTTAAAACATTCTGTCGTGAGTGCACAGCCAGGGGACACGAAAAGTATAAGCAGCTTAAAGGTTTGCTTGCAGTTTTATCCACGTGCATAATTTTTTGTGTTTTTCCAATGTTCGACTAATTTCTTTTGCTGAAAAAATCTACAGGTTTTGACTGCAATTAGCTCGTGTTTAGCCTCAGTTGTAATTTGATTCTTGGTGATATTCCTTCGTGCCTATTGGTTGTTTACTTTTGATATTAACTTATTTCTAGTTCCTTCGACTCATCTATAAATATGAACAAACATGAACTAGAAAACCACGTACAAAACTAGCAAGTAACCCATCCTAGGTTGTCGTTTTTTTTTTTTTGAAGGATTATTTTGTATATATATTTAAGTATATACTTCGCTGAAGCAGCCTATTTGAACTGCAGATTGCTAGCCATCCGAATATATACGTCTTAGACACTCCAGGTGTATTGCCTCCTGATGTCAGCGATGATCACGTCTGCTCCAAGCTTGCTTTAACAGGTCAGATCACCATATATGTATGTGTGTGTGTGTGTGTGTGTGTGTGTGTGTGTGTGTGTGTGTGTGTGTGTGTGTGTGTGTGTGTGTGTGTAAATAGAAAAGAAAAATCAAGAAATAGAAAACATTAAAAGAGAAGTGCCTTTTGTTTTGAAAAAAAATTGCAGGAGCAATCAAAGATACTGTAGTCGGTGAAATCGAACTTGCTCGATATTTTCTTTCGATTTTGAACTTGAGTGACGAATACAAGCCATGGGGAAAGTTACCTCGTGTCGAAACTGTCGGCGAAGTATTAACTAATAATGAAGGTACTTCCGGTCCGAACAAAAGACGAAACAAACAATATCCAAGTGATCACACTCAGGTACAAATTATGATTTTTTTTTATTTTTTTTTTGTTGAAACAAATCTCGACTTTGCCACTGCTGGTATTCTGATAAATGTAAATGCAGGATTTCGTAGTCAACAATGTTCGACGAACACTTTTTGATGCAGTTTCTTCTTTTGCGGGTTGTTTGGAAAACGGAGAAGATTTTGCACGACTAATCGAAGAAGAATTAGAGGTTCTGTTAAAAGCTTTTCATATTCGTTTAGAATCGGAAGAATGTAAATATTGTAGAGTAAGTCGAAAGTTGCTTAATCTGTATCGTACAGGAAGGCTTGGCCATTACACTTTAGACCCTGTTCCACAATAATTTTGAAAGCCATTCATTCTGGTTTGAACATGGAATTCTTCTAATTGATTGTTTAAATACAGATAAAATTTATGTTAAATTATTGGGCAAATTACGGCCACCCCCAAGGTATGGCCAAATTACAAAAAAACCCTCTTGTTTGGGTAATTACAGCCACCCCCTCCTTTTAAATATTTTTACGTAAAATTTATTTAATTTGGTTATTTACCGAACCAAATCGTATATTCAGTCCGGTAAACGATATAAAATGTTGGCATACCGAAATTTTGATTCGGCTTTACCGAATTAACATCCTTAAATTTACCTCTGGAGGGGTATTTTTGTAAGATAATAACATAGTTAAAGGGTGGCTGTAATTATCCAAACATGAGCAAACATGAAGGGGTTTTCGTAATTTGACCATAACTCAGGGGTGGCCGTAATTTGCCCTAAATTATTTAATTTTGTAAGAGAAATTATTATAAATTTTGTTTGGGCCAGAGTAGTTTCCATTCTTATTTTGGTTGATTTTGAACTTTGAAGGAAGGTTTCGAAAATCCCTTGATCACAATTGTTGATTTACAACGGCCAAAGATATCGTGTCCATCCATAACAAAAAGGTGTGAACCGTTATTTCACTCCGAGAATTCCATATACGATGGCATTAGATTATCAAATACAATAAACCCGATTTTCATTACTGAATTTGAAACAATTTATGAACTTAAAAAAAATCTCCCGTTATTGTAAAAGCCATCAAGAATAATAAAATTTAAAGCTTAGCAACGGCATACGGAAGCAAATTTGATCCAACCGGGAGTTGCAATTCTTCCCAGTCATCTTCGTTCATCTTGGAGAAATAACGATCCACCATTTCATCACTAATCGACTCTAACCTCGACGGGTCCCACTGCAAAATGACAATTAAAAAAAAAACTTTTAGCTGAAAAGTCTATTTATATATACTTGGTTCTAAGTTTTTTTTAATTATTATACTTAATTACAAGTTTAACTTTTTAGCAGGATACATAAATGCAAAAGGAAAAAATGCACCTTTGGATTTTTGTCCTTGTCCAACAGTATAGCTCTGCAACCCTGAAATTTGGACTAGAATAATTAGAATTTTAGTTTAAAATGAGTTTATATAGTAAAAATAATATTTAAGTAGGTCCTTTTTGTACCTCGACGAAATCCTTGCTGATTTCGCCGCGCAGCACATGACAAACCATTCTGAATTCTCGAGCGAGGCAGTTGCCAATACCTTGTAGCCTTCCTTCTCTAATCTGGATATCAATACACGAAAAATATATATCCAATATTTTGCACATTAGTTTTTATATAACACATGCGTATTGCTAAATAAATAAATAAATAATAAATTAAGAATGCTTAGTGATCTATACCGATCTAAGAGAAATTTTGAGGCTCGTAGGGGATGCTTTCTTCAACGACTGAATTGTCGAAGTAATAAAATCATCCTTCTTTTCATCAGCCTCTCTCTCCTAAATACGTAAAGAGTTTAAAAGTTGCGTAAGCAAGAAAGAATCACAAGTTAAAAACTAATGCGCTAGTCATCTATCTTACAAGGGCTGATATAATCTCTTCGACTGTTCTTCGGGAAAAGCATTTATTAATGATGTTCAACCTGCATGTACCCCGAAAATTGTTTTTTAGGGGGTATTAGAATAAAATTACAACAAAACAAGTAAATATTTGTTACGTTTAATTAAATAACATTAATTCAAAAATAGTAAGCACTATTCTTTTACATTATGGTATAATATACTCTGGAATATGTTACCTGTGGTAAGCACTATTCCTTTTCAAATCAGGTATTTCTGAAAACTCATCGATAATAGAAGAGATAACAGCAGGAACACTGGAATCTGCTTTAACTAGTGCTGCTTCTAATAATTGCAATTTCTGCCCATCGGAAAAAAAATAATAATAAAATAATCAAGGAATAAATATGTGGGAAAAAGATTGAATTTCACCGCATTTGGGATGAATTATTATATACCTCTGATCGAACAAAATGAGTTGCTAAACCGCATGCAAGCATTTCAGGGCCATCCAACCTCGTACCTGTCAGACCAGCATATTCTCCTGACAAAGAAAAAGTGCAATTTGCAAGAAACGACACAAATCAACGCTAAAGTAAAGAAAAAAAAAATTTGGATAAAGCCAACAATAAAAGAAAAATATATGATCTTCAAGATCACAGTTAATAAGAGAAAAAGTAACGACTATACTGCAAAACAATCGGAAATGCTTGTGCTAATCTACCTCAAAGAAATGGTATATGAAAAAAAAAAAACACGAGGGCGTAACAGTAATTACCAAAGAAACCGGGGAGTCTTGACAAAAAGTAGGAAGCACCTACATCTGGGAAAAGTCCAAGAGCTGTTTCAGGCATAGCAAAAAGCTGCAAGAAGATAAACAAATATTGTATAAACATAGGACTCTGTAGTAAAATATCTATATACATGCATATACATTAGAAATAACAAACAAACACAATCCAGTAAAGATAAGAAACTCACATAATAATATCGAGAAAGAGAAAAAGAATAAGTACCGAATTCTCTGTAGCAATGCGGAATCTACCGTGTATAGAAGCACCTCCACCTCCTCCCATGACAATTCCATTAAGAATCGAAACCTTTCGATGCATTTTACAAATAAAAAATAAGAAAAAATAAAAATAGCAAACTAACATGATTTTTTTCTTTCTAAATTAGCACCTGGGGTTTACTGTATGTTGCCATCACATAATTCATCGTAAATTCCTTTCTGAAATAATCTGCACCCCTCTTCCAATTACCTGACGCTCATACAAAACATCAGGCATCATCTACTGCAAGGCAAGAGCCTTTCGTTATTGAATAAAAGATGCTAATATTAGTCTTAAATAATTATTAAAAAAAATTATCAAATCTAATTATACAATGTTCGTGAAATTCTATTTATATATCCAAGATAAGTCTCACTTTTGACATCTTGTGACATCAGCTTATCTACCTTGATTAATATCATGAACAACTGCTGCAACATCACCTCCAGCACAAAATGCTCTTCCCTTTCCCTATTGTCATGGCCAGAAAGTGAGACGTAAAAAAAAAAGAAAATAAAAAAAATAAAAAATAAAAAAAATTCATAGAATCCGCCAACATTAGCTCACCTTTAAAATAATTAATTTGACAGAAGAATCTCCGGCACAAGCAAGAAAGAGATCCAATAAACGAGACACCTAAAGTAAAATGAACAAACGATATTCAGTAGCCCATTTTCAGCTCAGAGAATGATTAATGGCCAACAAAATCAGTATCAAATCTGTTATAAATATACATATATGCATATATCTACATATATATACACCTACTAATCTAAATAAACTGTTCTGCAGCAGCTCGATGCATAATTTTTATTACGATTTTTACATTTAAATGATTAACTTGTATAGTAATATCAATGATTCACAGATAACTCAATACATACCATTGCCGCAGAAAGTGCATTAAGCTGCTTAGGCCTGTTCATCGTGAAAATTCTCGCAGATGATTTCTCTTCCACCAAAACCTATCAAAATCATTCGCTTTTCAACACAATTCGCGATAATTCAAACATCAAATTAAAATTACCAACAAATCCCAAAATAAATAAAAAATAGAAAATTGGACAATAAACTGAAAATTCCAGAATATATCGAAACCTAATTCCTAATTTTAAACGATAATTCAAGCATCAAATTAAAATTACCAACAAATCAAAAAATAAAAAAAAATTGGATAATAAACTGAAAATTCCAGAATATATCAAAACATAATTCCTAATTTTAAACGATAATTCAAGCATCAAATTAAAATTACCAACAAATCAAAAAAAAGAACCAAAGTGAAAATTCCAGAATAAATCGAAACCTAATTCCTAAATTTAAACGAAAACAAAAAACGAGATAAAAATTGAAGATAACATGGAGCTGTAATTTAAACTTTATTTCAAACAGGATATTAAAATAAAATAAAAATTAAATTAAGTGAAAAAGTGAAATTCAAAATTTACCTGATCGGTGGTTTGTTCATGGGTAGAAGCCATTGTACTCGCAGAACCGACGCGCCTTGGTTTGCTGAATGGTAGTGATAGTGGCAGTGGCAGTAATAAGAACCGCAAAAGTAATTGAATTATTTTTGCTATTGACAGAATCAATTCAGTTTTGCCACATAATTGTACAACTTCAAATGCGCAGAGTACAAACAGTGTAAACATATTTAAAGAAAATGAATGTTCAATTTATGGAAAATAAATAAGATTACTAAACTATCCCTCTGATTAGTTATTTCGCCTTTAATTATCTCTCGATCAATTACTTATCTCATTACAAATTACTTATCTCATTACAAATTGCTAAACGATCCTTCGTATTATTAATATTATTATAAAGCACCCCTAAATGATGAATTTTTTGGGGGGATGGTTTGCTAAAATAAATTGCATCATAAAGAAGTTTGGTAATAAAAATAACATGAGGGTAAAATGAGGTTGTCTTATGAAATAAACTGTTAAGACCTCGTTTAGTCGTCAAGATAAGATTAAATAATCTAATGAAAATTCAATTATTCTATCGGATCCTAAAAAATTCAACAAAAATGCTCCATGTAAAGGGAAATAAGGCAAGATAATATTTGTTGGTCGACCCGATAAGTTATCTGCGATACCAAACCCCAACCGAACGAGGCCTGATGAATATACTTTCAGGTTGTCGTTGTCCATTATAAATTGTGAAACGTTTCGTCCATTATTAAAAAAAAGGTCGGAAATTCGAATACCTCCGAGTGTCGTCTATTGTAATAATTTATACGATTAATTTACTTTAAAGAAAGTCCAATTATTTACTTGATCATGGTTAATTTATTGTAACATTAAACAAAGTCCAATTACTTACTTGTCCATGGTTAATCTTCCCAACCGAACGAGGCCTGATGAATATACTTTCAGGTTGTCGTTTTCCATTATATACCGTGAAACGTTTAATCCATTATTAAAAAAAAGGTCGGGAATTCGAATACATCCGAGTGTCGTCTATTGTTATAATTTATACTATTAATTTACTTTAAAGAATGGATTATATGAGTTTCAAGAACTCCATCTTCTTATAACCACTACTTAAAAACCAACTTCATTTGCAAAGAAAAAAAGTCTCCATGGTCAACACTTGTCATCTATGTCAACCATTATTTTTTAATAAATTAAATTAGATCTAATTTACAGGAGAAAAAAAGGGTCGAATATAACTATCATCCAAGCCATTCTCTATATATAAATACATTTCACTTGTTAGTTTTTGTTTCAAATACACTTATTAATTAATTATTGTAGAAAATTATAAAATTTAAAGTTAGGAAAAATGCAGGCCATCAAGGAAAAGTTGAGTGACATAAACGCAATGCGAAAAGCCAAGGCTGAAGCAAAAGAGGAGGAAAGGGTAATATTTGTGATTTGAAATAGTTTCGCTTAATCTCACTTTACACCCCTGAAATATATCGTTTTTTTGGCGTTTTGCATCTTTAAAAAGATTTAATATCACTTTGCATCATCGAAACATAATAAAGCATACACAATGCACGTCGGATGCCCTTTTTTTTAAGCTAATAAAGGTAATTTAATAGTTTTAGTGGTATCTTTAAAGGTAAAAGCGATTTTTTTTAATCTATCATTTCTTGAAGCCTATTTCAAAACTGCAAAGAGCAAAAATAAAATTACAACACATTAACACATTTACAATTTATTTTTTGTTATCACAAAAAGTAAGATTACTCAATCTAGTTTGTTATCAAGTTAGTTGAAAGTTATATTCTCTTACAAAGATTTCTACAAAATATTTTATTCAATTACAATAAAAGATCCATCAATCGAATGATTTAGTGTGAAAAATTTATGTTTTTATTTTCTTAGAAAATATAGATTTTAAGTAACTCAGTGAGATTTTATTTTCGCACTTTGTACGCTCGAAATTAGGTTGAATGATAAAATAAAATAACAATTTAATTTATTACTATGCTCCCTTAAAAAAGAAACCCAATAAAAGGCAGTTGCCTTCGTTAAATTTTAAAAATACAGTTCGGGGTGCATTGTAAATGCTTTATTGTGTGTCGACTGTGCAAAGTGTTATTACCTTTTTTGCGAGGGTCAAAGTGCTATTACCTTTTTTTAAAGGTGCAAAGTGTAAAATACTATATTTCAAGGGTGCCAAATGAGATTAAGCCAAATATTTGTCTTGATTCGTTATTATAATTTTACGTTCGTTGTTCAAATTTGAATTATATGACAGGCGGAGAAAGAATTGGCGAAAGTGAAAGGTCAAGTAGCTTACGAGGTAAGAATGGCGAGAGAGGCCGAGGCTGCAATGGATCGCCACGTCAGCAAAGCTGCGGAAAAGGCGGCGGAGTACGAGCGGAAGCACCACCACCACCACCACCACCCCGCCGCCGCCACCCACGGCAGCGGCAACACCCGCCAGGATTTCTACGACGCACAGGAGGATTCTTACGGTGGGAACCCCAATTCTCTATCATCTGAATATTCAGCTAGCCCCGTCCGCGGCGGCGTTGACTCCGCTGCCTATGGCCGCGAAGCCGGCGGCGTTGACTCCGCTGCCTCCGCTGCCATCATGGGCTATACCGGCCCCGCATTTGGCGGCCCACCAACTAACAACAAATTGCTGTAGATAAAATATTTGGTTTTAATTATTTTATTTCTTTAATTTATTATTATTATTATTATTATTATTATTATTATTATTTTTTGTTAAAGAATTGCGCGAATACATATTAAATTATTTTCTTTTCAGCAATAAATTGTATAATACAGTTTGGCCCCTATATTATACGTCGATATGCACATTGCCCCATGATTAAATTATTTTTACACTATCTTTCTTAAAAACATTATTATTTATTGCACTGTGTCCCGACGTTATTATTTTCGTTTAATATTTGGACGAAACTCAAATTACCGAGGGGGTAAAAACATCATTATAACTTTTAGGGGTATAAATTAAGGAACTATTAGTGAGAACTCCCTCTAACATTATTTTAATAAGGATGAGTTCAGCTCCTTTTCTTTTATTAGTGAGAAACCCATTCTTTTTATATTCTCAAATGTACCCACCCACTATTCACTACCTATTATCCACTAGTTTGATATTTATTTTTTATTTTTTATATTTTAATTTTGATTTTTGTTTTTT